ATTAGAATATATTTTATAATTTTATCATAAAAATTTAAATAAAACTTAATTAGAATCTTTTTTTGTAAAAGTTGTGTGATATACATATACTATTGTTTTGCTAATTATTAATAAATTTGTTAAAAATTTTATTTAATCCAGGTTATCCAGAGGTCAAATTATAACGGGTCAGGTCAGGATCAGGTTTTATAAATATTAACCTGGTATTTGTACGAGTTGGTTTTTATAAACAGGTTGAGTATAAATACATTCTCAAATCTGATTCGATTCAACCTTTTTAGAACACTAATTAATTATTTCATTTTTTTAATTTAAACATTTATTTTAGAATCTATTGAATCACAGATAGAAATTGAAAATATTGAAACTGCTGCATTTAAAGTATCTCGGCTCTTATTAAATAAATCAGATGATGAATCAAATATAAGGAATAAAAATGAAGCAATAAATATTTTATTAACAACTTTTTCTGATTTATATTACATTCTTAATCACAAACCAGTTTCTTAAAAACAATTTGAAAGGTTTGATCTGCTGTTTACACCTGAAGGGTTTTTATATTTAAAAACTATAATTGATACTCAAAAAATTATGATGCCTTTACACGACATTTAAAAAATATTTTTAATAAGCAAGCATAATCTGAAACATCTGAAATAACTAAAAAACCTGATTTACTTAATCTTAATAATGCTAATCGATTAATTACTGAATTGATAAATGATTTAAATATTCAGGAATTGTAGAAATTGACAAAAAGAACATTAGAAAGAATGTAAAAGACTTGCAACAATTTCAATAGCTGTTGAAACTAACAGTAGATATTTCTTTTATTGATATTGTAAAATTTAAATAATTTTATTTATAGATAACTTTAATTTATTTTTTCTTTTTTAAATGTATAATATTATTTATGCAAATGTATCTGATTTTTATTCTTTAATTTCGGGTGGATATTTAATCACTTATTCAGATAAGAAACTTTGTATTACTCAAATTATTTAAATGTATGAAAAGCAAGATCAACAACATGCTTGGATAAAAAAAGCAAATTTTTTAGATTATTTATCATATATTTCAATTAATATTTATTTGAATGTTTATAATAATCTTTGAATAAATATATGTAAGGCAGGAGGAAAATTATTTGCCCACATTTTAGTTAAAGAAGTTTTATATTATTTTGATTAATCTCTTTTTGATTCTTTTTTCACTTTAACAAAAGAAAATTTGGAAATTTTTTGGCATTTTATAACATCAGAAATGATATCAGATCTTACAAAAATTTTTTATAAATTACAATTTTTAATATTAAATTTGTAATTTCTCATCATTTATATTTTATAAACTAGATTAGGTCAGTGTGTGGTAACTTCGTCACCACTAGGTATAAGTATTATACTACTTTCTAATAATTAGTTTTGACATATCTTTTATTAAGTTATAAATAAAATTATATTTGGTATTATTATATTTATAAAAATGTTTAATATTTGTTTGTAATAGTCTAGATAAAGTTTATCCTCTGATCTTTTTAATTTCATTTTTTTATTTTTTATTTTAATTTTTAGTTTTTAACTTTTTATTTTATTATTTTTTTTACCCTTCTCGTTCTTTTTAATTTTTTAATTTTATTTTTAATTTTATATTTTTTATCCTTTTGCGATTATTTTATTTTAATTTTTTATATTTTTTTTATTTGTCTCCCCTCTCCCTTCCTCATTTTTTTTTATTTCTTTTAATTAATTTATTTTTTACTTTTTTTTAGTCTTTTTTTATTTATTATTTATTTTTTTATTGACTACACTACTGTAATGATTTAAAGAGTCTATTCAAAATGCTATGCTCGCATTTATCTAAAAGAACAAAATCAGTTCTAACCTATAAAATCGAAAAAAAGTGATTATTTTTTTATTTTTATTTCTTTAATTTCTCTAAACTAATATGACTATAGCCAGTTATATTTCTATTATCACCTTTATAGTAGTAACTTTTATTTAGAAATAATGTAAATCAATTTTGATAAATCTTTAAATAGGGTAGTCCAATTATTAAGGTGAGTAGTTGAAAGAAGAATTATTTACAAGCGTAATTCTTATACATAGATGCTGAAAATTTAAATAATTTATTAATATATAACAAAAGCCACAAATTAGAAATTAGAGTTTTTTCAAAAAAAAAATAAAAAATTAAATGCGATGTTACTAACTACTAAATTTTGATATGTTATATTATGTAAATTGATGTAAAAATTCTTTTTCATGTGATATTTTTTTTTTATTCATTCATTTTTAGTCAGTTAATAGAAATGATGCACTGCAAATTATTCAAATTATATAATCTTATTTGAAAATCAAACTGATTTTCAAATAATAGGTATTATATTATAATTAAATTATTAGAATCAATTTTTGTCTCCTTAAAATCTTTACATTAAATTAAAGATTTTAAAGTTTCTTTGAATAAATAACACAATAGTTCTTTATAATAAAAGGCTAAAACAACGAAAAATAAACTCCCTGAAAAAAATCATTCAAATCTAAAAAAGAAAAAGAAATATTAAATTAAAAAGATAAAAATAAAACGAAAATTAGAATTAATTTTATTATTAAACACAATTAAATTATTTTAATTTTATAAAAAGTTAAATTATTATATAAAAACAGTTTATGCAATTTAACAAAAAGAATCAAATGAAAAAATTCTTCAAGAAAAGAAAATTATAAAATATATTATAAATAATTAGGTATAAGAAATTATTTTATAATTGTTGTGAAAAAAAAATTCATTAAAAATTTCTTTTTCTTAACTAATTTATAAGATTTAAAAAACCTGAGATTTAACTCAGATTAAAGTGAATTTTTTGCTGAATATTCTTAATTTCTTCCTTTAGGATCTAACCATTATAAATAACAAAACAGGTTTTAAATTCAGTAAGTATTCATATGGCAGTTACAAGTTCCATATTTATTGATTCTAAATAAATTTGACTTTCTTTAAGAATGTTGATTACATTGTATGAGTCCTGTATATTTGAATGAAAACATTTTTTTTTAATATAAATAAAACCTTCTTTCTATAATTTTACCTATATATTTATTATAATGTTGAATGAAAAAGCTGGTATATATATATAAAAAAAATTTTTTTTATTTAATGAATACAGAAATTCGCAAATTTAAAAATTTTTTCTTATTAAATTTATTCTTTTTCTTTTCCTGTTATTTTGATTTTTTATTTTTTTTTTGTTTTCGATCGTTTTTATTTTTTTTATATTTTTAAAATTATTATTTCTTTTTATTTTTATCATTATATTATTATTTTTTTTTAAAATTTTTATTCGTTCTTCCTTTCCGTTATATTTTTTGTTTTTATTTTTAATTTTTTAATGTAATTTTATTTGTTCCCTTCCTTCTGTTGTTTTATTTTCTTTTAGTTTTATAATTTTTTTTTATTTTCTTATTGTTTTTATTTTATTTATTTATTTATTTTTATTCATCTCCTCCCTCCTTTCGTTATTTTTTTCTTTTTAGTTTTTTCTATTATAATTTTTTTTTATTTTTTTATTGTTTATTAATCTTTTGTTATTAATTTTTTAGTTTTTCCTATTTAATTTTTTTTTTTGCTTATTAATAATAATAATTGCAATTGTATTACTGCAATAATCTAAAGGGTATTATATTCAAAAAAGCGAAATCAGTCCTAATTAAAACTGAAAAAAAAGCCATTAGATTTTGATTAATAATCAAAAATTAATAATCAAAAAAAATAAGTAAATAATAAAAAAGTTACCCACCTTACTGTGCTGCCACAATAATCCAAAGTGGTAAATCTCTTAATCTAACCTATAAAATATAAACTAAAAAAAAATAAAAATAATTTAATCATATATCTGACTGTAACACTACTACAAATCAACTGATCTGAATCTTTTTTTTAAAAAAAAATATTTAAACAATCTTTATTTCTTGAAGTAGATTCCTCCTCTATCTTTATCTCTACCTTATCCTCTACTTTTTAGTATTAGTGTTAGTGTTAGTATTAGTATTAGTGTAAGGTAATAACAAGTATTCTTTATACATAACAGAAAGCTTTAGATAGTTTTATTTAAAGTAGTAATTACTTTGAATAAGTGTGCTTATATTTATTATTTTAAAAATAATTTAGATTTGTTATTATTAGATTTTATTATAATATTTGTAAAAAAGTTAAGAAATTAAAATTTAAATGTTAATATTAATTTATTGTATTTATCTTGTAATTGGTGATATTCTATTATAATTTGTTCATATGTTTTTTTGAATTGTGATCAAGTGCAATCAAAGTTAAGGAGTTTCATATTTTAGCACAACTGATTGCAATATATGCTTGCCCAGCTGTGAATCCAATGGTATTGTAATATTTGGTAGTATTAATTCTTGAGTTTTATATACTGTTAAGGCATAAGCATTTTGTATAAGAAATTGATGTCTAGATGCTAATTGTCTATTATAATTGAATCTATCAATTGTTTTAGTTACAGATATATAGCAAAGATCAGATTTTGTTAAAAATGTTATATTAATAAGTTTTTCATTATGAATTTTCATTATAATGCTAATTGAGTTATTACAAATTCCATTATCATATAAAGTGTTGTTAAGAAACATAACACAAGCTCCTTTTTGAATTTGAACTATATCTGGAAGATTTGTATATTTTCTAAAATATTTATTACACTTTTTAATATTCTAAGGTTCTTTATTGAGTTTATCTTGAGTATATAATATAAATGATAGGTTGTAGGATTCATCAATTGGCAAATAGGACATAGTTATTTTATTAATTCTATCAGTTATATATTGATATTCCAATATATGAGTTGTTTTTAAGAAAGATTTAATATTTGAAGGTGATATTACTTTGCTTTTTAATTTCTCCTATATTTCACTTATAATTTGATTAAATCATATTTGTTATAGAATTTCAAAAACTCTACATCTTCAAATTGTAAAAAGGAATAATAGCATGAAATAATCCTATGATACTGATTTGAATATAAGTGGTGCATTAATGGAAGGTAGTTGTGTTAAATTTCTAACTAATAGGACTATTATTTCACTAAAGGGTAATGTATAGTTATGTAGTTCACAAAATATCTTATTAATAAAATCTAGTATATATAAAGATATCATAGAGATTTCATCAATTATAATAGCATTTATTTTTCTTATTCTAGTTCTACTTTTAGCATTTCTCATGGCCAGTGATGTGTAATTACTTGATTCTAGCTTTATTTGTAGTTCAGAGTGTATAGTTTTGCCATTTATATTTTGTGTAGCAATACCAGTCAGGGTCATAAGTAGATAACTTTTATGATTATTAGTTAAATAATCCATAATAAGTTTTATCATATGGGAGTGTTTCTAGGAAAATTAGATTCCGAGAAATTTTTGACTAAAATAAAGAGCTTAATACATTTTAATCTAATAACATCAAAAACTAAAATGCAATAAAAATCTCAATTTTGCTAAAAAATTCCCGGAACCTGATTTTCCTAGCAATCAACCCATATAGGATTTTCCAGTTCTTGCTGCTCCTGTTAAAAAGTAATATAGATGTTTACCTTGCTGAGTAGTTTTCTAGCTTAAAGTCAAAATATTATAGTTAAAATATTGGTCATCTGTGCTAGTTATTGATAAATATCTTAGTAAGTAAGAAACTGGATTAATTAGTAAAGTTAATTGTTCACTTATTAATGCTTGTAAATCAGTATTCAAATTTAAAGTAATTTGTTGAATTAGATAATGATAATTTTGTATTATTAGATTATATCGAATTATTAATTTTTGTTTTATATTAATTGTTAATTCTTAATATTCTTGAGAAAATTTTGATTGAAAATTTTTTTTATATGTGATAAAATTGTTCAATAATTCTGCATTATTATAAAAAAGAAATCTTAATAGTAATTATTAGTAGAAAAATTCTTTTCCAGATTTGATAGTAGTATGATAAAACTGTACTAATATATCTTTTTTTCTTTTTATCACATATCTTCTATTAAGATTTATCCAATATGGTCTGTTTAAATTTGTTAACTTAGAATATATTTGATATTTTAGATATGTTATTTCATTAAAGATAGAATTTCAAGGTCTTTTAAGATATTTATTTATTGCATTATTCTAGTAGGGATTTTCATCATCATTTAATATTAAATGAATAGGCTTAACAGATTTTGATCTAAAAAAGGTGGTGCTGAAGGTAAATATTCAACTGCTATTGTAGATTAACAAAGTTTATAGCTAAGCAATAGTATCATAATTTTTAATAAAAAAATTCTTTGGGCTATTATATGTTGACAATAAGCATTATGTTCTTTTAAATCAAATGCTCCTATAGGCTTAGTTTTTGTTATATATTTGTAATGTAATGTGCAAAAAATTTTGAAGTAACATACATAAAATAACAATGGACTTGCCATAATAATAGGGTTGGTGCATGATAAGGAACTATCCATTGGTCTTCTGATTTAGTCTTTTTGTAAATATAATAATATGAATTAGGTAGAGCATAGGTTGTATTTGATAATAGTTGTGAAAATTCTTTAAAATATCTTTCATCAGGTATACAAAGACCATTGCATATTTCAGATCTACATTGATAAATTTGATATTTTATCACGAGTTTATATAATTTAGATTCATATTCTAGATTTAGTATATTAGCTCTAATTATATTTAAATTAATTAATTTTTCGATTGGCTTTTCTAATCATATTATTCTAAGAGTATGGATAGCGTCACAATTTTGAAATTCATCTTTTTCTCAATGGTAAATTCATTTACCCTATTCTGAAAGCTTTGCATTTTTTCATAATTTATTTCTTATAAATTCTAATCGATGATGATAATATTGGTATATGTGCAATAGCCTATTTGTAAGATTAATATCTTTATTATCAGTTAAGGATAATATAATTTCAAGATTATCCCAGCCATTTTCATTCATTGTAGTGGTATAAAATATTTGGAGTAATTGGAATGCATCAACTATCATTTGAACTTGAAGTTCTTTCTCTTTGAATAAGTACTGCCAATTCTAATATAAGATAACAAAGTTATTATAATATTTTTATTGATAATTAGTCTATTATCATATAGCTTGTAGTAATTAAATCTGCAGCAGTTAAACAGTTTTATCTATTTGTATCATTTTATCTTAAAATTCTTGCACAATTTTGATGGTTGCGAATTTTTTTTAAGTTTATATATGACCAATATTGGCCAATATAAGTGTAAATTTGGGATTTGGAGATAATAGACAATATTTAATATATCTTTGATAATTGTCAATATATATTTATTTATTAGGATTGTCATTATAAAAGCTTGTTCCTATTAGAAAGAGATCTGGAAATAGAAGAGCTTCTAGATACTTATCATTGTGAAAGATTGAAAGTTATTTTTTATCTGAATCATTGATAAAGCTAGCTATTAATTAATCATAATGGAAAATTTTATTATAGATTTCTGTATTGAAATCATAGGAAGGTATTATTAATTTAGGACGATTTATAGGACGATTTAAAGAAGTTGAATTTTGAGTATCAGAAAATTTTGTTATTAGAAAAACTATTCTTAAACTATTTTTATTTATATGTAACACAATATGAATATATAGTTTAAAAAAAGGATTATTATTTTTAAGCTAAAGTGTGGTATTATTTAATGATTTATGATATCAGTTTTGATTTGAATTATTTTCCAAAATAGCACTTATTACTCTAGAATATAAAAATAGTATATGAACATTCTTAAAAAGACCAAATTTTTCTGATAAAGTTTTATAATTTGTATATGCATTAGAATTTAGAATTCTACTTAAAGAACAACCTAAAAATACTGGAGAAAGCTAACATCTATAGTGCATTGGAACATTTTCAATTTCAAGTGATGTTTTAATAATATTTAGAGGAGGTTTACATAGCCTTAAATCTTTGTAAGAAGAGCAAATAGCAATTTTAAAAGAATTATTTATATGTTCAACTGGTTCTTTATCGGGAAATGTTACTGTTAAAGGATAGATTCTGTTATTTTTCTTTTGAATCCATTTTGCATTTGTTGGAAGCATAAATATTGAACAGAATGAGTATGATACTGATGGAAATTGCATTAAAATTTTTTTATTAAATCGATTTTGTAATAATATTAGCTTTTTATAAGGTCTTCAATATAAAGAAGTTAACTAGAAAGTTAATTGATAATTAGTATTTGGTGTTATTGGATGATTTAGATACTGATAATGGCGAAGTTTTGCATTATTCCAAATTGAATTATTATTTTCATCAGTATCTTGCTTAAAATTAAAGTCATCAAGAAAGTAGTTTACAAATCAGATTGCCATTTTGAATATTAATTATTAAAGGGATGATTTTCTTTTAGTACTTAATTTGAATTTTACTGAAACCCTGATTTAGTAACTTTAATGTCACCAGCATGTGACTATCATATAACTATATGATCATGTACATGTAGCATTTTTATTTTATTTTAACTTGCAATTGCTTAAAAATGTTCCTTTAAATAAAAATAAATAACTTTTGAAATGTTTGATTTAAATTACAGAGGGTGGACAAAGTATTCGCACACTTTTTCACTCAATATAAAACTTCAAATAATTTTGCATTAACAATAAAAGGTTAATTAATATTTTATTTAAAGCTGATTAAGATCTAAATTTTGTACTAAGTAACTAGTACTTAGTTAGGCTACTATTTGTTACAATCACAGCTTGAATTTATTGTGGCATATTATCGACTAGGTTTTTGATAGTATGCTTCAGAATTTCTTTTCATACCTTTTTAACATATTGGTCAAGAACAGCAAAATTAGATGAAGGTTTTTTATAAGCTCAGATGATTTTCTTGACTTCAGCTCAAAGATTCTCAATCAGATTAAGATTGGGACTTTGTGCTGACCAAGATAATGTATGAAGATTATTTTCTGCTTGAAAAGACATTGCAACCTTTGATTTATAAGGCTAAGCATTATCTTCTTGAAACTAGTCATCATAATTTGAAAAAGATTTTCTCATGGTTGGAACAACATATTTATGAAGAATGATGACATGCGAATTACCAGTTGCTGTTCTAGACAATAGAACAATTAGCCCCATACTTTTTCTTGAAAAGCAGCCCCAGTACATTTGACTAGGGCTATATTTTACTGTAGCTATAACACAGGATAAAGTCCATTCATCCTTCGATTCATGCTAAACCTTACTAGAGCGGCTTTGTAAAAATTGAGAGAATGTGGATTCATCACTTCACAAGACTTTCAACTAATCCACTTTAGTCCAGCTTTGATATTTTAAACACCATTCAAGACGCACCTCAATATTTGCTAGTAAAATTAATGGTTTTTTTCTTGCAATACAATTTTTTAATCCAGCTAAATGGAGGGTTTGTCTAATCGTCTTGGTTGAAACATCTTCTTCTTTCAAAGCTGTTATATTCCAGCTGCATATAGATGATGATTTTTAGTTTTATCATTCGTTACAATTCGTTTAAGGTGATTTCGTTGTGAGATTGAAATTAAAGGCGGACGTCTAGAATGATGCATCAATTTGGTTGATCTGGTATTATGATATTGAATAATAGTGTCAA